CCCCAAAACCCCAAAACCCCAAAACCCCAAAACCCCTTGTTTGTTATTTAATTTGAAAGTAACCGGATTTTATTATTAATAAAGATGGAAGAGTCTAAAAATCTGTCTAAAAAATACAAAGCTGCTAGCAAACAACTTTATTATCTCAAGCAAAAGCATAAGGATTCTTATGGGCAAGCAGCCAATAAGTCCTTAGAGTTGAGTGGCTCTTATACTTGAACTATTAAGAAAACAAGAAAGCAGTATAATAAAATCAGGCCTGTTATTAGTTTAAATAACCAAAACAGAAGACTTTCAGAGAATAAGAATGCCAAGAAGCCTAAAAAAATGAGCAAAAATAAGATAAATTGAACCCATGAGATTATTTAAGACCAAAAAGACAGCTGATTTCAAATTAGGAGCAGCGACAGAGCGAGATAAATCATTAGATAAAAGTTCTAAGCAGTCTAATTCATTAATCCTCAATAAATTCAATCTTTCAGTCTCAAAGGAATCAAGCAATAAGATGAGTGGGAATAAGATCAATGCAGTTTACAAGACAGGGATTAGGGCTAGTGAGAAGAAACTGAAAAATAAGAAAACTAAGAGATACTCCATTGGAGAGAAAGCATCTGCAGCTAGTAAATTCTCTCTTAAAATTGGGAGAAATAGTCTTAATGGTAAGAAAAATTTAAGAAACCTTACTCTTTCCCACGAAAGAAACATTTTTACTAATGGCTAATGTGAGAGATGCAGAATATCTAACATTTTTGTTTCTAGATTCGAATTCTAACTCTTCAGTTGAACTAAAGAGTTTAAAATACAAGACTAAAGCAAGACCGCCTAATTATTGTGAATATTTTGTGCGAAAATCATCATTGAGCAGCAAATCTAAAGAAAAATCTAAATCAAAGAGTAAAACTAGAGAGCAGTCAAAAGCAGGAACGAGTCAGGACAGGAAGAAGACTAAGGTATATCTTAGCTCTTCTTTGGTGAACCAGAGTAGGGATAGCAAAATAATTAAGATTCAAAAATCTTTCCAGTCACCTTCTTTAAAATCAATCAGTATTTCTTTGAGAAAGTCCTCCAAAATTCATCAAAACAGGAATAAGAATGCTAAGCTTAATAAATACATTAGCCTAACAAAAAGAACGAAGAATGACAATTTGAAGAAGACCTCCATGGTGAAGTCTAATCAGATTTTGCCGAAATATGAGAAGCCAAAGATAAGATCTGAGCACAGTATAAAATCTTTGTCTAAGATTGAGAAGGTGACAGGAAGTAGTTTTCATTCAGAGCGTGTCAAGGTCAAAAACCAGCCCTCTACGACTAAAAATCAACATAAGGGTAAAAATACTGTAGAGAATAGACTTAAGAACACCATATTCAGATCTCTAAATGACGTCAATAAAGTTCTTAAGCGAAGAAAGATGGGAGAAGACAGAAAGAGTAAGAGCAAGCAAAGAAGGCAATCGAATTCTTTGCATCATCATGGAAATGAAATTCCCATGTCTGACTCAAACAAAACAAAGGCAACTATGGCAGAATCTCCTCAAGTCTTATTCCCCATGGATCCAATCCTAATGGTTGAGATGTACCATAAAACCTTATCACAGCTTGAAAAGGAGGAAATTAAGGAGTTTCAGACTCTTGACCATGACTTTAAAATCTATTTCTTAGGAGATATCCCAAAAAGAAAAACTGTCCCGGAAGATATGGAGATAGATGACGACAAAGGCAACTTAATTGCAGACAAAGGTAGCAATATCTACTATAGATATGAAATCAAAGATTTCATTGGCAAAGGTAGTTTTGGAAAAGTGTACAAAGTGTATGATCATAAGGAAAAATAGAGATATTGCACTCAAAATCCTTAAAAATTTTCCTCAGGAAGAAAACCAGATTGACCTAGAACCTGAAATTTTGATGTATCTTAGCAAGAGATGTTTGAAAAACGGGTCGGATCTTACTAGTCATCATGTCATAGATATCCAAGATTATTTTGAATTTAGGATTCACAAATGCTTAACCATGCCTATCTATGAGGCCAATTTATATGAGAAGATAAAGGAATTGAACCATACTGGCTTCACCACTGATATCATTAGAAGGATAGCCATTCAGATGCTCAGGTGTCTGAAATTTTTGAGGGAGAACAATGTGATACATTGAGATTTAAAACCTGAGAACATCTTGCTGAAAAACAGCAAGAAATCAGGAATAGTAGTAATCGATTTTGGAAGTAGTTGAATGGAACATCAGAAATTATATGCATATATTCAAAGTAGGTTCTATAGAGCCCCTGAAATCCTTCTGGGTATTCCGTACTCCTATGCTATTGATATGTGGAGCCTTGGGTGTATTCTAGTTGAGATGTACATTGGGGTCCCTTTATTTGACGGAAAAGATGAGAAAGAGCAGCTCTGTTTGATTATGGAGCTAAGAGGAATACCTCCAATCAATTTGATAGAAAGCTCAAGCAGAAAAGAGCAATTCTTCGATGAAAATTTAATGCCTTTGATGATAAAAGACGACAATCAGAAAGTTATTCGTCCTAATAGCAGCTCATTGACTCATTTTATAGAAGCAAGTGATAAAAATTTCATGAAATTTATTGATGCTTGACTTCATTGGGATCCTGAGCTGAGAATCACTCCTGATGAAGCTTTGAGACACGACTGGATCCTTGAAGGGCTCCCTGAGAATTTACAGTTGTCTTTGACAGGGAGAAAATAATTAATTAATAGGTTGCATATATAAGGCGACCATATTTCAACTTGTTGAGATGATTAGGGGTTTTGGGGTTTTGGGGTTTTGGGGTTTTGGGG